ACTCTTGTCTCTCTCCGCACTTACCACTGCTAAATTCAGGAGATGCAAGGCCCTCAGCATTTCACACCACTCTGTCTGTCCCTCTGAATGCTACCCCTTAGATGGTTCCTGCAGCCCCTTTTGGTGCCTTTGCCTCCACTCTCACCTCTTTCCCATCTGTTCTCTAAACTACAGTCAGAGTGGTATTTCTAAAATGAACATCTCAATATGCCAGTATTTGCTTTAAAGTTCTTTCAAGTCTCTCTGCAACCTTGGATAGGATTTAGGATCCTTTCATAACATAAAGATTCCACATTATTTCTCTCTTTAGCTCTGTAGTCTCCTCTCTCATTTTTTTTCCTGCCTCCCCACAATATGGACCTCTTTGTACTTCGTAAACATGCAAACATGCCAGTCTCCCATAGTGTTTCTTCTGCTTTCATGATTCTGCGTGTGGTCTGCCCAGGACTGAAGGAATATTCCTTTGCCCTGTGAATGGTCCTTTAGTGTTCTTGACACCATTTCTCATAGCCTTCCAAATCTTAGCCTTCCAAATCTTAGTCAGGATTCTCTCCCTGGTTCCCATAACTCAATTTATTGCAAGTTCTTATTGATTAGTTTGTGTCCCCAGAGTTACTGGGAGTCCCTTGCATGAATGATCTGACATAATCAAGGTTTGAATATATATATATATATATCCCTGTCACATCAGATGCACTCAGATGTGTATTTGTTGAATAATTGGATGATAAACAAGGAAGAACAAAGAAAAGCCCTAAGCCACTGGAAAGGTAGAAGTAAAGTGCTGGGAGCCAAGAGGCTCCGAATGATCCCTGTCAGCAAGAGGTCATGGACATGTGGACGAGGTGGCATTTTAACTGCACTTGGAAGAATAGGCAGGCTTTAGAAACAAAGTCTGGGAGAGGAGGGTGGCTCAAGAGGCAGCATAAATGAGGAGCGGAAGCAGATGAGATTGTGAGCTGCGTGTCGTGTCTCAGAGAGAACGGCATCAACAGCAGAGACTGGCTAGTGCTCACACCTCGGGGAATTTTTATTTTGGGGATTGTTTAATGCAGACCATTTGTTTTGCTGAATAATTCTACTATATAAAAATATGCTGACCAAAATTCCTGATAAGAAAGGATGAAAGGGCTGGGGAGATAGCTTGGCAGTCTAAGCGCCTGCCTGGCAAGTGCAAGGACCCAGATTCGATCCCCTGTACCACATGCCGTGCTGGCCGTGCATGCCCTATGGGCCACCAAAACCGGGCATGGTGGCGCACGCATGTAATCTTACCACTGGGAAGGCTGAGACGGGAGGATCGGTACGAGTCTGAACTTCACAGGGAGACCCTGTACCAAATACATAAATAAATGATTTTTTTAAATTGAAAACAAAGGATAAAGGAAGCCTGAAATATTCCTGGCAGTATGCCAGGTACATTCATGTGTAATGGAACCTCTCACTAAAACTAACAATTATTTTATGAATAAGGTGACAACAGAAATACAACACACTTGGGAACCCTGAGCCATTCAGTTTTATTTTGCCTCCAGTAAGCTTTCGTGTCAAGGTCCTGTCCTAAAGAGAAATGAATAAGGATTGACAGTGGTCCTAGCACTCAAGTAATGGCTATCACCAAAGAAAAGGGATTTGGAGAAAAAGGGATTTGGGAGTGAAGCCAGCTTGACCTTTCTGTGACCCTGACACTTTTTAAACTTAAGTTTTAGGAGTAAAAAATAAAGTTGATAGTACTTTATCGATTAAATGAGATGATATTTTCAAAATTTCAATATTTACTGCCTAGCTTATGGTGATCACCAAATAAAATTTACTTTGTGGCTATTATCATTCTTGTTTTAGAGAAAATGGAAAGGAGCCGTACTGAATAGCTTTCTTGAAACTTCAGATTGGTAAAGGCAGACTTGAATATGAAGCTCAGCTTTACCTTTTATTTGTTATTTTGAATGTCTTGGACAATTAGTTTTCTGAATTTTATTTCAACTGAACTGAAAATCAAATATAATCAAGCAATTTCCTATCAATCTAAATCCAATATAATTTCTTTTTTAAAGGGATTGAGATAGGCAGCGTGTGTCACTCTGGCTGGCATCAGCGCATAATCTACTAGGAAACTAACCCGTTGACCATGACATTGTGAGTGCCAGGTAGTTAACGTTAGTGCTAGAGAAGACCTCCCACTGTCCTACCAAGAGAAACGCTAAAGAGACTTTGAGTTATCTTTCATTTATGAGTTTTCCTCTTTCTTTTCTTTCTCGTTCTCTTTTTGAAACATCCGTTTGTGCTGGAAGCTTTTAAGAGCAGGTATCTTCTAACCAGACTGGTTTGAACCATTTCCCCACAAACGTGACTTGTTCCGAGTTTGTTTGCTGCTTTCGGCAGGCGGCCTTGGTTGTGCCGCTCCCATTCAGTTATCCTTGAGTAACCGAGTGCACTCACTAGCTGAATGACCTCCCTCCACACACCTCCTCAGTGGGTTCTCTTGACAGTAGCCCATTGCTGGAATCCTTAACTCTCCTATCTCCTGTCCAGAAAGTACCACTTTTTACTGTATCCAGTACGCCAGGGACTGCTTCGCAGAAATTTCTATCAAGCTTTCCCAACCTGGGTGTCCTTGTCTCTTCCTTGCCCCTGTCAAAGTTTAAAGGACTTACCTGATGTCAACGCCTTGGACACCCAGCAGTGCTGCAGCTGTGTCTGTGTTACTTCTGGCTCTGCAACAGATGTGGATGGAGACGCTCCTGCAGTGTGATGCTGACTTCCAGATGGTGGGTGTGGGGGGAAAGAAGGTGTGACGACAGGAGGGGTGACCTCAGGAAGTGGGTGACAGGAGGCAGCCGACAGGCAGTGGGCGGAGGAGAGAACTGATGGGTGGCAGAAGGGTGGAGTCCTAAGGCAGGGGGAGGGTGAGTTACATGCCTTGTAGTAGAAACTGACTCGGAATTTACAATTAGCAAAATAAATGTCTGCAAATCTGCTTCAAAAACTTTGCAGTGTTAATGTTGCCATCAGGTAGAGCTCCTCATAAATATGTACTACATGATTTTTAAATAGCTGGTTGTTAAAATTTGCTGTTGTGATGTGACTCCAGAAAAGCTATAGTTGTGCTTTCACAGTGTGGAAGTCGCGAACTTGGATTCTTAAGTTAAGGGAATTGTATTGATACTTTCATTTTGTTCTATTTATCTTCTTTTGACCTGTAATTTTAGGTTTAGACTTTTGTGTGCAAAAGAATGCTTTGTAGTTTGTTATTAGTAAAGCTCATTTTATGTGCAAATTAGATTTTTAGATACTCTTTTGACGATAAGTACATGTAAGCAACCATAAGTCAAATATGTAATTATCAACACTCTTCAGAAAAATTAATTAATTCATCTTCCTAAATTAAAAATAGCTATCAAGTCTCTTTTATTTTCAAATGGGTCAGCTTAACTATTTGTATAATTCAAAGGTAAATACCTATCTTGATGTTAGTGCCATAAAGCTCTTAATTTACTGTAAAGGTCTTAGTTTTACTGCAAAACATTAGTTGTTGAAGCTTAAGGTTTAAGATTGTCAGTGCATGATGGTAAATTTCAAGCATCGCTGTTTCTAATTTGTTAACAATTATTGTTTTAACAGATAAAAACTGATATCCCTGTGTTTTGCTCTGAATTAGCTTTCTTTTTTTAACTTTAAAACTGAAATTCAGCCTGGGGGGATAGCTCAGCAATCTAAGACCCTGCCTGGCAAGCACAAGGACCTGGGTTTGATCCCTGGTACTGCATGCTGTACCAACCCTGAATCATGGGCGTGCCCAGGTGGCCACCAAGACTGGGCGTGGTGATGCATGCCTGTAATCCTGGCACTGGGGAGGCTGAGACAGGAGGGTCACTATGAGTCCAAGCTGCATAGTGAGACCCTCTACCAAATAAATAAATAAACAAATCTGAAATTCAATTAATAAATTAAGAGCCTAGAAAAGTTTGACTCACTGGACTAGAATGAAATATTTAAAAATCTATAAAGGGTAACTCTAAGACCTAGAAAACATTTTAATCCTGAGGAGGGAAAACAAACTTTAAAGACCTGATATTCACAGGTCTTTATTCTAATTAAAGTCATTTAATAAAAAGTCATTTATTCTAATTATTCATTTCTCAAACATTTGGTGCCTTTAATGAACATGCCCTTTCAAAACCTCTAGCCTAATGAGGAAATGAGACAATCAAAACAGTGTGAGAAATACTGTGTCTTAACCAGAAGTCAGATGATTACGGTGTATATTCTGAACTGATGGAGGGGGTGCGGGCAGCATGCTGTACAAGGACAGCAATCAGTGAGAATGCATGTGGGCTGCAGACAGCGGACATGCATCCCCCAGTACATAGGGGCCGAGTGTGAGCCTTGTAATGGGATGTAAAAGCGCACTTATTTCCTGCTGGTAACTAGAACTCAAGGGAGGGGAGAGGAAGTAATGGTTGAACTGAATCCTATAGGACAAATATGGGCGCTCTAGTTCATGGGAGGGCAGGTAGAGTTTTCCCACTGAGTGCACTGCATTACAACCTCTTCTGGTTGGTACAGGGATGAGGGAGTGGAATTCACAGTAGATCAGTAGCCCTCTCTAAAGATGTCTTCTTAAACTCTCTAATCAGTCCTTCAGTGTGAGTCCATGTGGGACAAGGATCTACAAGTTGTCTGTTCCTCAGTCCCCATCTGAGATTTATTGATGGATATGTGTCCCATGACTTGTGTCTATAATATTGTCATATTAGGATTTCTAACAAAACCTAAATTTAATAACCTCAAACAGTTTTCATAATAATATTAGATCCCAGGGGAATGAATGGGAGGAAGTACATATTTCAGATTTAAGGGATAGGATAGATGAGTTGAAGAAGTAGAGAAACAGATGTACCCAAACCACTTACCAGAGAGTAGAATATCTATGATGAGACACTTACTGTGTATTTTGTCAAATATTCTCTATTGTTTACAGCTTTTACTTCCTCTTGTAGGTGTTGATGCTATGTCAAAATATTGCCCAACTGGAGACCCAGGTGGAAAAAGTTACCAAGGAGAAAATTTCTGCTATTAATCAACTAGAGGAAGTTCAAAACCAGCTGGCTTCTCAGGAAGTGGATGTCACAAAGGTGAAAAAACAGATTTTGGTTTAATGATTCCTTAAGTATATATTTTATTTGAAAAGACAGCTTTGTTTTGAGACAAGGCCTTGTTATGTAGTGTAGACCAGCTTTGAACCTCCTGTCACCCAGGCAGGTCTGGAACTCTTAAAGCTGCCCGCCTCAACCTCCTGAGTACTGGGATTACTGATGTGTACCACCATGCCCAACAAAGAAATTTTTCTTAAAGTGCAAAGCTCTTATTATTATCAGCATGAAATGTGGGGTGGAAAAGTTTTATTATTTCAAGAACAATAAAAAAATCTATCAATGGTCACCCAACACATAATTCTGTACTCTATGTATCACCATGTGAGGGCAACATAGATTCAAAGATGAGTTAGACATGAAATCCTTGAAGAGTGTAAGGGTTAAGTAGAAAAGGCAGCCTGGTAAATGAGAGTTATCTTTTTATTAATTTTTTTTTTTAGTCCTTTATTTGGCACAGAGTCTCACTACACAGCTCAGACTTGTAGTCATCTTCCTGTCTCAGCCTCCCCAGTGCTAGGATTACAGGCCTGTGCCACCACACCTGTTTTCTGTGGCTGCCATGGTGCGGGCCCTCCATGGCATGCGGTACTGGGGATCGAACTCTGGTCTTTGTCTCTGCCAGCCAGACACTTAGACCATCGAGCTATCTCCTCAGCCCCTTAGAGTTATCTTTTATTATTGAAAATTGGCTAAAGGAGCCGGGGAGATGGCTCAGTGGACTAAGCGCTTCCCTGGCAAGCGCAAGGGCCTGAGTTCAATCCCCAGTTCCACCAAAAAAAAAAAAAAAAAAGAAAGAAAGAAAATTGGCTAACATTTAATTTCTAAATTAGAAGCGTGCCCCCTTCTTCAGCACATATACTAAACTAGATAGGTTTTTTTGGGGGGTGGGGTTATCATAAATTGTTGTCCTTTATAATGTCAAAGATATCTGTAGACTTTTTTTTAAAAAATGTATTTAGTACAGGGTCTCACTACACATATCAGACTCATACTGATCCTCCTATTTTCAGACTCCTAAAGACTGGGATTACAGGCATGTGCCGCCATGCCCAGTCTTAATCGCTGTCTCAGTACACCCCAGGTGGGGGCCAGCATGGCATGCTGGGATTGAACCCAGTCCCTGCGTCTGCCTAATCAGGCACTTTAATCTGCTGAGCTATGTGGCCACCCCCTCTGGTGACCTTTGAAAAGTGTACTTAACATAAAAAATTATATCTTCCTCCTTTTTGGATTTGGCCTCTAATATCAATATCCTAATGTCATAATTTTTTTTTTTGTATTGTTGTTTCAGTGTTTGTACTAAAACACCATAATGTCAGAGCTACGGACATCACTAATTTTGAAACAAGAACTAAAATATTTAGTGTTCTTAACTGACTAAAATTACTGTATTAGGTTCCTATTTTAATAAGCACTAGCGGTTTACTCAGATTTCAAGTCAACTACTGTAAAACTAAGAATTTAAATATAACACAATATATTTAGATTCTAATATATAATAAATGAAAATGTAATTATGAATAATATAATAGATGAAATATAATAAATGAAAACACTTTTAATAGTCTTCACCATCAAGATAATTTGTTTAAATTTCAAACTTATTCTTTGTTTCCCTAAATTTTGATAGTTTGTTGCCATTATTGTTTTACATTTCAGTAATTGAAATTCATTTTAATTTACTTATTAGGAAAGTCTTTCCCCCATTTTCTTCAATTTCTGTAATTCTCCCTCTGCTTTCTGAAGTTCAGCTAGCTAATATTGAAATTTAAGAAGCTTTCACTTTCCTATATACCTAGTATGTTTATGTGGATGTGGGGCTTAAAGTGAAAGGACTCAGCAGAGAGATAACAGTGAAATAGAGGTAACCTAGATTAGTGATATCTGTGGTGACAGTTTTTAGTTCATTACAAAAGAAAAGCTTTCTGTTGAAGTACAATAAGTGCATGAATTGTGAAATGTGGTAACAGAGAATGAGTTCTTGTCTCTAGTACTATCCAAAAGGACTCAAGCATCACTAGAATGATGAGAATAAATGGTCTTGATGTTGCTTCCAATCCTGCGACAATAAAATTATTGTTCAATTAATTTGATTTATTTAAAATGAAATTTTAATGGTATGGATAAATATAGCAAATGTGGAACTAAAAGTAGAAAGGCAAAGGAATTTTAAAAGTAAAATTAAGAAAAAAATTTAATAGGACCTGATATTTAGACAATTATTACATGTTTGGGTTGGTGTTGTGTAATTGTTATTTTCTAGTATTATCAATTTGAGATTTTTGCACTTCATTCATAGATAGAAATCAAACAGATGGAATGGTAAATAATTGAAAAGGAGAATAAATTGAGAGGGAGCCTCAATTTATTTATTTATTTCTGTATTTAGGTCAGGGTCTAACAAGGTCTACAGGGTCTCACTACATAGATCGGACTCGTAGTGATTCTCCTGTTTTCTGCCTCCCAAGCACTGGGATTACAGGTGCGCACCACCACGCCCAGTCTCAGTCTCTGTCTCAGCGCGTCCTGGGGGTGGGGCCAGTGCAACATGCCAGGGATCGAACCCGGCTGCTGTGCTTTGCCTAAGCAGGTGCTGTAGTCCACTGAGCTATCAGGCCAGTGGGAGCCTCTAATTTCTCATACTCTTAGTTTTTAAATTCTATTTACTTTTAAAATAAAGAACCTTTTTGTAAACTTATAATTTTTAAAGGGAAAGAATAAACTCATACATTGAATGCAGCAAGATTTCAAGTAGAATTTTTAGTAAGTTTATTCTTGTTTTAGCTTTCTGAGCTCTGCCGTGAAAAAGCATACTGACTTTCTTCTGTCTTGTCACTGTAACTTAAACTTTGTTTGTTTGTTTGTTTGTTTTTATTACTGTCTTTTCCTTTTTGACACAGGCTCTTGCTAAGAATCTCAGGCTACCCTTGACTCCCAGCCCTCCTGACTCCTATGGCATATGCCCCACTAGATTTATCTTTCAAATGGCTTTTTTACTTAAACATAGGAAACTCATTCTGGTTTTGTCTTAGCATATTCTAATGCCTGAGTAATGATGAAACTAATCCTGATTTTTGGAGAAGTTTCAAGCAGATATAACCATTAGGTAATATGTAATCTTTAAAAGTCTGGTTTTGTAAATTAGAAGCAGACTTGTGTATTAATCGCATAGCAGGTTGTCAGTCATGTTAAAAGACCCATAATTTCTTCACTAAGAACTCATTATTCTGTATAATCAATTTTAAAGAAAGAAAACAACAATTAGGAGCCCAAAAGTTATCAGCCTTTTTAAGGTAAAGATAATGATGAATGTTTGAGATGAGTTGTTGGTTACACATTGTAGATATATGTGCAAATTGTTCTAGTGTGCCACATGAAAAACTCAGATATTGTATATCAATTAAAAATAAAAATAAATTACCAAAAAAGATTTATCTCATAATTCTATGTCTGTTGAGGCTCTGGGCTGGGAAAAAATATAAATTATACAAAGACAGATATGCAACACTTTTAAGACACTGTGTGATTTCATCAATTAATGATATATTAAAATTATTTTACTTAAATGTGCATTATCTTTTGATGTTGAAAGGTCAAGTCTGAAGCATGAAACATGTTTAGTTCCAGCTTATGAATTTTTCCATGAAATATTCCTTAACTTCCATAGTGCTGAGGTTATCTACAAAGTTCACAGTAGGTGTGATGCACTACACGCTAATTATGAATAATATAGTGCATTGGCACTGTACTCTATAGAGAAAATTTTCTTTATAAATTTCCTTAAAAGCAAGATAAAGTTATTAAAACTTTTATAATATAGGTTGAATATTTAACCATAAAATTAAAAAATTGAGTGAATAACAACATAACCTTTTTTATTTTTCAGTTAATGGAGAGTGAAGCTAGGGGTGCTCTGCTGCTGAGCTACATGTGTAGCAGCCCTTTTTCATTTTGAGGCAGGATCCTACTGAATTGCCTAGGTTAAGCTTGAACTTGTGATCCTGCTTCTTTAGCCTCCAGGCAGCAGGGATACAGCTGTACCACTCTACCTGTTTTATTTACTTATTTTACCTAATTAAAATTTGGATGATAGTGCATTTTGATTGATTATATCCAATTGAAATGGTTATTTGGGGTCACATTACTTATATCTGCAGCTTAAATTCTTTAGTTTATACATATATCTGTAATTTGAAACTGTCCGACTCAATGATCCATGATAATGCCTCCAAATCTCAACAGGCTCTTGAATTTTGTAGTATATATCTTAAGTACTGTTGCATTTCATCTGTATGACCTCTAGAGGGCACCAAAAGATCTACTTGCAGGCATCGCAGGGTGGCCTTCAGCAGCTATTGATCTAGTTTCTACGATGTAACAGGTGTGTGGAGAACTGCGCTTCCAGTTGAATAAAGCCCAAGTGTCGAAAGATGAGGCAGAAAAGGAGCACAGAGAGTACAGAGTAAAAACTGAAAGGAATCTTGAAATGAAAGACCAGGTAAGAGATGGCACAAGTAGAAGAACCAATTAAAGATATCCTTAACATTCTTTCTGAAGTTGATGTGGTTTTATCCTTAAGTTTTTTTATTTCTTATATTGTTTCTAACTAATGCAATGATCTAGTTTACACTATTAAAAGATTTTCATTTATAGTTGCCTAAAATTATCATCTTTCACAGGAAGTGGTAGAACTACAACTGCATGCATATAAAATCCCAATCTGACAGGTCATAAATATACATTTGGATATGTGTATCTATTACTTACAAAAGTTAAAAAAAAGTTCTAATGCACAGTTTGTACCTAAAATATAGGAACATAAAGTTCTTAAAAGATGCCAACTTGCATCCAATTTTAAATGACAAAGTTTAAAATGTGTAAGATGAGATGGGTTGATGTGTAAATATGTCAATCAAATTGATTGTTGGCAGAGTGAAACCAGTTTTCACGAAGATAACCATGAATATGTTTCCTTAGGAAGCCTAAATACAGTGGAACCAAAATGTAGGGAGGAAAATGCTGCTTACTTCAACTGCAGCGTGAACAGATGTTATATGTTATGACTTTATTGAGATCATGTAGGTACTCCAATTTTAACTGACAACACAGATGAAGCGTTTAGAAAGACAGATTTAAAAGCCTTGCTTTTGATTTTCTATTTTAACTTTCCAGTACAGGCCTTTGACGGTTTGCATTCTTTGTATCTAATGAAATAGGTTGTTTGTGCTATTAAATAACACTGACTTCGTAGTGGCCTTATTTTAAAGAAATTGCCATAATTTAGAAGTATGTAGCTCCAAGTAAAACTTTTTCAAGTACATTTCTAGTCCAAGGTTTTCTATTGTATTTTTCTTCTTCCCTCTTTAAGCCCTATTAAATCTTTATGACAAATGATACAAAGACAACTGAGAAAACTATTGAAATGAAAGTGATAACAAAATTTACTGCAAAAAAAGTTTTTTAAGTCATGGGTAAAGTCCTTGGTACTAAGTTACAATCCAGACAACCAAACTAAAATTCTGCTTTTGTACCAATATATTTCAAGTGTTATAAAGTATTTTATACTTTCAGAGGATTTTTTCATTATTAATCCATATAAGAAATGAAGCTACTTTATTTCATCCAGTTGGGGGCGTGCCTGATAGTGGAATGGAAAATTCTTTCTATCTGGTCCTGGAAGCTTAGGGCTGCCAAGTCAAAGAGGGAGAACTTTCCTTTTCTGATACACTGCATTTCTAATCACTAGCATTATTAAATACCTCTTGTATTATTGTATAGTATTCTTCCAGCATATTTTGGGCTAACTGGGAAGATGCAACAGTGAAGAATCACTATATTATTTGAACTTACAATGCTTTAGAAAAAGCACTCAGGATCAATAAGAGTATAATATCATTTGTGAATGAATAACCAGTTTTAAAGTACTTATAATCTTTATCTTTTGGAACTCTCATTTGAGTTCACCCATAATGGTATAAAGGCTACAGTTGCAAGGTCTTAAGGGAAGAGTTTTCATTTGAGACATTTCCTCATAATAGTGAAATATTAGGAGTTTTCATAATGAGTTTTAGTGATGTATTTTTAAATAAAGGTATGATTTTTTAGGAGGTCATAGGGTTAGGAATAAAACCTCTGAGCCAATACAAAATGTGTGTAATATTATGCACTTGTTACCATTTTTCTTGGACAGAATGTAAGAAAATTTTATAGGTACTCTTTGTAACTATTTTGTATTGAACAGACAATTTCAGAAAAGAAAGTAGTAGTGTCTCATTCCATGGATGGTTTGGAGTTGCAAAGCAGCAATTGTTCTTTGGTCTTTCAGCCATGACCTGACCTTCTGTCTAGAAGACCAAAGAGCTATTTTGCTTGGCTACCATCTGCACTCAAGAGAGAAATTTACATTTAACTTTTAAAAGCTGGACATGTTGAGCATTCATCTGCAATACCTATAATCATGTAAGGCATATTTATTTTAAAGTGTTGCGTATCATACAACTCAGTGTAATGAGAAGTCTATTTCTAGATTTGCAAGCAAGTACTTCTTGTGATACAGTCATTAATGTTTTAGTTAATCTGACCATTTGATAGATTTTTAAATTAGGTGGGAAGCTGTGAGATTGGAATGTGGTGAGAACAAGGGCTTTTTTGATGTATACAAAATAGGGCAAATGCTTGACCACCAAAATGATTTTCCTTGTGACCTGAGCCTTGACTCTGGCATAATTAGATGGAAAGGTTAGGAGGGTAACAATGGCAGTTTCTTCCACCCACTTTCTTCTTTTCTTTTTTATATTGTGTCAGGAACTGATGGGCAGATTATCCTTCCCATCAACTCTTTTGTATCTCTTCAGCTTGGAGAACTCCTGACAGCCTCACAGGATGCTTTTCTGCACACACAAAAAATACACACATACGCGTGCACACACACCAGAAAAATGACATTTGTATGAAGGAGTAGAAGAAATTTGTGCCCTGATTTTTATTATAAATTTCCTGTAGCTATAGGTATACATACGCAATTCATCATGAAATTTAAAAACATTTGAGGGCAAAGGGACTGTTAGGACAAATTCCTGAATTTCTATCACCTATGCTCAACATTTTGCTGGTCCTTTTTCCACCTATTTCACATTTCCCCCCTCCGAACACCTTCGTCTTCCTTGTCACTGCCTTTAACTTTTGTCATCATCTTTTTCTTTTTCTTTTTCAGCTTCTCTCTTCTTCCACTATTTCTCCTCTTATAGAAATTTTAAAGTCAGTCTTAGACATTGTTTGTTATTTTGCCCATAACTACTTGAGTGTGCATTAATGTATATTTTACATGCTTACTATGCTGTTATTACACCTGGGGATAGTAATATATAATTCCTTAATATCGGGTCAAATAATGCCCAGTCTCATATTCAAATTCTGTATCTCAAAAAATGTTTATAAAATTATAGCTGGTCTACTAAAATCAGGAAGACAGGTATGTTTTTACACATTAGAATGTGACATTACTGCTCTCTTTAAAAGGAAATGTGGATGCTCAGACAAATTCTAGGGCTTTTGTTGTCCATTTTATTTCATAATGGTTCATTGTGCTTAAGAAATGACTTATAGCCATTCAGAAGAAAATGAGCTGTTCCCATAGCAGACTCTGAAGACACATCAGCCGTACAGGATCCCTGGGCACTCAGTCCCCAAAGGAGTTCCTTACAAGCTGGAGCCGGAAGTGCTTATTCTCACATCCAGATGTTTGAGAATTTGGAATATTGAGCAAGCCCTGGCATTATGGAGTTAGCTGACTGTAAATAAAGGATACATAAATGGAGTTTTCTTTTCTCAATTTCCATTTTGGTAGCTAAACTCAAAGATGATCCTTTATCAGGGCCCTATGCAAGGTAAAAGTGCAGGGTTTTTTGTTCAGAAATCAAGCAAGAAGTGATGCTAAAGGTACTAAAATATAAAACTTTTTTTCTTTTTCTTTTTTTTTTTTAAATATAAAACTTTTTTTCTTTTTCTTTTTTTTTTTTTAGTCTTTTTCTTTGGCTCGGTATGTTTTGTTTGCTCTTTAATCCCTGACTTTCTCCAGTGCAGGGGTACAGATGGAAAGTACAGGTCCCTCAGGAGCCCCATGACTGAGTGTGCACATGTGGCCCATCAGCTTCCAGTCCTTCTGCCCTGCAGCCACAGAACCTGCAGCCACAGGGCCCACACACCAGGCCCCTGGGTAGTGGGGGGAGACTGACAGGCCATTCTGGAAAATTGCACCCTTCACACTGGCACACAGCTGGTGCCTCGATCAGGAGGAGGTGCCACACACAGTCTACTGAGTGTGCGGTGGTCCTGCTGGCTGCAGCAGGGATGGTCCCTCCATGTTCCTCCCTGAGATGCCACAGCTGGACACATCAAACCCCAACAGTCCTTCCCTTAAGGCTCATATCTGGATTCCTGTTAGCAAAGGACAGGAGTGGAGCATAGTCCCTGACCCGTGACTTGGTCCCACGCTGGGTGGGGAGCAGCAGCAGTAGCAAGGCAGGGCCCAAAGAGGAAGCTGGAGAGGAGCACGCTCCCGACAGCTCTGCGGTGCAGCAGTGACAGCAGGAGGTCCATGTGCCATCAGACTGTGCTGACAAAACTCAAACCCCAATAGCGCATCATTAAGCATTTCAAGACACTGACCACAAAGCCTTGAACAACAAGTGGAGAGCCCTTGCACACTGCTCATGTGAGACTTCCCTGACCACGTATGTGCCCATGAAGCTGCTGTGACTCTGGGAGAGGCAGAGACTTGTGAGCTGCAGTGCTGATCTCCACACCCCCTACACACAGACACCTGTGCCTGGTTAACATACTCACACACACCCTCTGTCCCGAGGGGAGGGTTAAGCAGCAGTCGCCGCCAGGCCAAGTCTGGCTTGCCAACTAGAGACCGTATAGCCTAGAATACTTAGAACATGTAGTATCGACCCTTTACAGAAAAAGCTGGCCAATCCTCGCCCAAGACATGGAAATATAACCATTTTTAAAGCCTCTTGTGCCTTACTTGAATGCAGAACTTTGAGTTTAAAAACCCGTCAATCTTAAGTTATAAATTAATATTTTTAGAATTTTTTACAGTACAAATAATATACTACATTCTTGGTGTCTCAGTCATCAAATAGTAATGCAGAGTGAGTGTATCACTGGCTGTGGCATCATTGTTTTTTTAGTTTACATGTCTTTATAATGGCTTGAATGAGAACATAACTACAACTTTGTTTTATATTTACAATTTGGTTTTTTGGTTAACACCAATTCTCCAGAGATAAGAATACTAACATAAGATCTGGACAGATAGCTCAGCAGACTAAAGAGCCTACATAGGCAAAGCGCAGCATCCAGGATTCAATCTCAGTGAGCCATGCTGGCCCAGCCCCAAGGGTGCACTGAGATGGTGGCTGAGACCAGGTGTGATGTGGCGCCTGTAACCCCCGTGCTGGGGAGGCTGAAAACAGGAGGATCACCATGAGT